GGGCGCGGAGTCTGTTTTCCTTCCCTTCCTGGGCGCGCCAGGGAGTTCGGAAGTTTGAAAAGTGAAGTCCCGGACGGAGTGGGTTGGGGTTCCCCGGGGACAGGCGTTGCCCGCCGTGGACGTGGGGTTTGTTCCCTCTTTCTGCGGAGAGGACGCGTGGAGAGGGGCCGGGAGGAGCCTCCTGGGAGGAAGGGTGGAGGTGGAGTTGCCTGTGTGTAGGGGTGTGTGTGTGTGTGGGGGGGGTGGTACGGTGAAAAGGTGGGGAGCTTAGGCTGCAGGGGGGCGTGGGGTGGTTTTTAGATCTCGCTCGAGGAGCAGGACTGGAAAAGGAAAAGTTTTTCCTGCGAAAAATCTCTTTTTGATCTGTATCCAATCCCGCTTCTGCCTCCTGATGAGTGGTGGACCGTGCTTTTCAAACTCCAGTTGGCCGCAGCCTGGGCCCGCGCTTTGATTCGCTGGCCAGGTGGTTGTGGGATTTACTGTCTCCGACCTGGGGAACCACTGTTCTAGGTTGTGGTCACCTTCAAAGGGGAGTGTGACTAGCGGAGATTGCTCCTGGCAAGGCACTGGAAACTTCAGTCCTGGTCTTCCTGGCATGCCGGGAGAAGTATTCCCTATAGGTATAAGGTGGGTGAGGAGGTAGATAATGGGTATGTGTTAGTTGTTGAAATCCTGGGGCCTGTAAAGAGACAATAGTGCTTTATAGGGTGGAGTCTGAGGTTATGGGAACACAGGATAGCGTGTTGACTATCGTGAAGGGATGAGGTTATAGGGTCTCTGACTTGAAAGTGTAGATGAGAACCAAGGAGGCCAGAACACACAAAAAAAAAAAGAAAGAAAGAAAAGAAAAGCCACGCTGATGGCAGGCAGTCAAGGCCCGACTCATGTTCAACAGCTCACATCCAGGTCCCCGCATGCCGCACACCTTGCCAGGCTCCTTTCTGACAGGCACCTCCCTTCTTTCCCTTTCTCATCCCCAACAAGGGCCAGAGCCCCAGGGAAATCCATGACTGGCCGAATCCGCCCTGGCAAGCCATAGGATAATGATGGAAGGGACTTGTGAGAGAAAGCTGGTCTTGCTGTTTTTTCAAAGTAGCTTAGGAATGAGGATGGTGTGAAACAGGATGAAGGAGGGAGGTGTGGGTGGGCCTTTGTTCTGTTGGCTTTCTCCCCCTCTTCCTACAGTTCCCAGCGGGAGAGGAGCCCCACACTTACCAGCTCCAGATTCCACCTCCCTTGCTTTTGGGCCTGGGTCACACGTGGTGCACACACCTATGGCTGGTGCTGACTGCGCCCTACAGAGCCTGCCTGAGGGGCTGGGTGGGTCCTGCCTGCACAGCTGGCACATAGACCGCAGATGCTCCGAGTGTATTGTGGGAAGCATCACCAAGGGAGCAGTTGTTGAACGGGATTGCACAGATGCAGACAAACCGCACCTCAGGTGCTGACTCAGTGATGTCTCTTGTGATTACTCTCTGGAGATGATTACTTTAACTATCACTGAGTAAATGCTTTGGGGATGGGTTAATTTTATTATTGGTTTTATTATAAACCCCTCCTGGTACCAGAGCTCCTTTCAGTTTACAATGGAGGTCCATACACTGAGTATTTTCTTGACCACAATTTACCCTGCAACAACTCATCTACCTGTTTCCCATTCAATTATATTACTCAGGAAAGAGTTTCTAAGAGTTAACATTGGACATTAAGTTGGCAGAATATTGTGGTGATAATGTGGCCCCGGGAAAGTAGGCTTCTTCTGTAACATAAATCTGGTTGGCGGAGGCCTTTTGAAAAGGCTCCACTTAGCTTAACTTAACCAATTATTTGTAAAATTACAGGTTGGCCTTGTTTAGCTAGTTAGGTAACTTTACATGTCTCTCCCTCTGTAACTTGCAAAATATTGAGTGCTCCAGGGATATTTCACAATTCACAATTTGTTAAACACAATGTTACTGTTAATTTTGAAGTGTACTTTTCTGCATTTAAGTATTTCTCATCTGGAAATGTAATGTATTTTAGAACTTTGTTGGTGAGTTTATCATTTGAAAATCAGAATACATTCTCTTCCTTGTCCCACCCTCCCACCATGGAAATACAGTTCTAAATGATGGTTATGGATTTGAAAGATACCTTTTTATCTTTCGAAAAAAGTTAAATTTGTACAACTTACACCTAAGTTCCATAAAAAAATATATATAATTCCACTCACATTTCTCTGAGAAAATGTGCTGAAGCCTTCAGGTGGTGCCTCTTTCCTACGGAGGTGGGCCAATGGGCATTGGCACTGTTTTGAGGTGTCTGTCACACCCTACCAGGGTGAGTAGGGTTCCCAGGGGGATGGGCACTGCCCGGCCTTGGAGACTGAGTGCTGTGGGGTGGTGATACAGGAGCTAGGGAAATGGTGAACTCCAGTAGAAAGGGTAGTTTGGAGGTCAAGTAGAGTGGAAGCACATTGGCTGGAGGATTCGGGAGGAGAGTTTATTAGGGTGTCAGGCGGCCAACATACCCAGGAAATGGGGGTGGGAAATTAGAGAGGCAAAAGATGTTTTCAGCATCTATGATTGTGTGAGGAAGATAAGCCTGGGTTGGAGAGATGGTCCAAATAGAAGGAATTTTCTCACCCACTGGGCATGTCTGTGTTGAATAACATGATGGTGAATGATATGAGGAACCTTTTCCTCTGGGGACATCTCTAATTACTATCCAGTTTGTATTTTTGTTTTTATTTTATTTTCACAAAGTCCCTAGGAGTGAGGCCAGCTGTCCCCTTAAGGCACATGGCATTTATCTTTTGAGCTATGTGTCAAGTAATTTGTAGACTGCGCCCATCCCTTAGTCATGGTCAACCTCTTGAATACTGGTGCAGGGTCAGGTGTAATATCTGTGTTACTGTCAGTGGCTCATTTTAAAGAGTTTATACACAAGCTAAGGAGTCATGATATCTCAAGGTCATAACTGCGCTCTTGCACTCCATCCATTCATTAAACGTGTGTATTGACAGTTGTGTACCAACAATGTGTTCCCCTCTGGGGATATGAAGGTAGCAAGATACTGTTATTGAATCTTAGGAAACTCACTGTTGGGTCCCCAATAACCATTATTAAGTACAAACAGAAATTAATGGATCAGGTCCATTTACTTAGTACTGCCTTCATATTCTCTGCAGGCCTCATCAGATATTATGTATGTTCATTAATTATTTGAGAAGTAGAACATTAACAGACCTTAATTAGCTGTGCTTTTGGAGAAAGTACTTACATTCAATTGGCCTCTCAGGTTTTTTTTATTGGTGTGGTAAAGGGTTTGGACTACATGATCAGTAGTGTGTCATAGTCTGCTCTGAAATTCTCTGCGGTCACTTCTAATCAAGGGTACCATAAAATAACGTTAACTATAAGGCCTCCCCAAAGTATCCCTGGGAAGCTCATTATTTCCACTTCCATTGCCAAATTTTCATTTCAGAGGGTTTTAGTTTTCTTTTGTCATCAGGTTGCTTCTCTAATTATATAACCATTACTCACTTGGGTAAGAAAAGGCAGTTTTCAAAGCACTAAAAAGTGGCATCTTCCACCTCACTGGCTGTAATAGAATCAGTCGACATGGACATGGAAGGCCTGCCTAGGCTGTCATTTATATACATGCACAAGCAATGGATGGCTTTAATTCTTAACAGCACATGTCTCCAAATACTTAGTCTCATCCAACTCATTCAACAGTTGTTTCCTGATGTTTTAAAAAATGTTTTTTTCTCAAATTTAACTTTGAGTTATTTATTAGAGAAGAGTGAAATATATCAAAGTTGTTTCTAGAGCAGTGGTTCTCAACCTTCCTAATGCCGCAACCCTTTAATACAGTTCCTCATGTTGTGGTGACCCCCAATTTCATTATTACAAATTGAACATAATTAAAGCATAGTGATTAATCACAAAAACAATATGTAATTATATATGTGTTTTCTGATGGTCTTAGGCGACCCCTGTGAAAGGGTCTTTCAACCCCCAAAGAGGCCGGGACCCACAGGTTGAGAACCGCTGTTCTAGAGTAAGGAACTATTGACAGTGTTCCCCAGTGATACTTTTTTTTTTTCATCTCCACCCTTTCTTTCCTTTCTCATCTGTATTGTCCCTTTATTCCTTTTGTCTGATCTTATCTTTTCTGGCCCCTTTTTGTTTCTTCTTCTTCTTTGTCTTTCCTGTCCTTTATTTCTTCTCAGTGTTTTCTCTTCCCTTCCCTTTCTTTCTTATCCTTTGTCACCCCTTGCCTTCCTTACTCATCTCCTCATCCTTTTGCTTTTCTTTTTCTACTCTTTTTATCTTTCTTTTACCTCTTCTCCCATTTCGCACTTCTATTTATTTGTCTATTTTTCCGTCTGTTCAACTATTTAATCATTTATGTTTAATTTCTATCTGTCATCTCTTCTATTAGTATAGTTCTTTATTTTGGTACATTATACAATTTGGGGAATAGTATTCTCCAGTAGCTAAAATATATTATAAATAAAGTGTCCAGTTATACTTTAAATGCTAACTAAAATATTTTTCTAACATTTTGTACATTTTTTAAAAATGTATTTGCCATTAGCAGTGGAGCATGTGTACAATGATCATCCTGATAAAACTAATGATTTACCTCTTTTGGCACATCCAGTGATTTTCCATTTTTTATAGTCAATTTATTAGATAAACATTGTATCACTGGCATGAACTTTCATTTTTCCATTTTCCAAAATCTTGTAAGTTTACTTTGCAAGAAAATATTCAAATAAGAGTGCACATCATACTGTAAAAAGAAGGGTAATGTTATTAAAACTCCTGACACTGCATATTGATATGCTGATAGCCTCACTGTGGAGGTCATTGAAACATTTGTTAATTGGTGGATTAAAGACTGGATTTATCACCA